GCTACTAGGGTGAAGTAGAGTGCTAGAATGACAGAGGATATTCAGATGATGGAAGATACCTAATGGTTAGGGTTTAGGGAAGGTGCAAGAGTGAGGGAAAGTCCTAAGGTGAGGAAAGAGACAAAGAGTAATGGAGGATTTCACCGTGATGGAGAGGACTGAGGGAGGATTACTGCCATCCTTATATTCCCATCGACGTATTAATCTACCTGTCTAATGCTGATCTTCTTAATTAAGGTGTGAAGGATATAGTTAGATAGGTAATGGAGTGTTAGGGTGATGGAGATACAAGGGTGAGAGAGGTGTTCAGACGAAGAGAGCTCTAGGGTGAGGGAGGATTGAGAGAGAAGACATTGATAAATAGAGAGGGTGAGAGAAAGAAATTGCAATAAATTGAAAACAATGGGAAATAAAGAGAGAGCGAGAGAGAGAGAGAGAGAGAGAGAGAGAGAGAGACGAATTAGGACATACAGTGTGATAAATTTTGTGAATGAAAAAGTGAAGAAAACAAATTAAGATTATTTTTTTTAGTTAGACAACGAGAGAACGAAATCGCCAAACTAAATAGGTTAGGTTAGGTTAGGTTAGAATTCGCAATAAACATAATAGAAAAGAAATCATAGCATATAATTCTAGCACGACGTAATATACACCGTGAAATTGAATTAGCTGAAGAAACCGGGTTACGAATCTTTTTAGGGATATAATTGTAGTATGTTGCAATAGATATATATATACACACACTGTCATTATCTTGGTGTACACGCAAGCAATACGGGTCTAAATTGGCTTTGTAATACGAATTTTATATATTTCTAATTGAGTTAAATTAGTTATCTTTATTAATTTCTAGGATACAACTCACACTTGGTACAAGACTAACTTTATTTTAGGTCCAATTTTTGTTTTGGTATTTTGTAATTGAGTTAATATGATATATCTGTTTTAATTCTGCAGGTAAATTAAAGATATTGGGAAATATATCACGGTAGTACAAGACGTATCTCAATTTCAGTTACGAATTCCACGTTTCAGTGATGTAGTGAATATTTTTATTTTTATATTTTGAAGTCAATCGAAAGGTATTAGGTAATATTTTAGTGCACTCTGAAACTTATTTGATTCTCTATCGTATATTTTATATTTCAGTCAAATATTTAATGTTATTTTCTTTCTATTACATTATAGTATTAAAGTTATTGGCAATATTTTTAGCGGATATATTTTCCATTTAGCGATGCAAAGATAAGATGAATTTAATTACCGGAGCTTTACTCTCATGCTGCATGTTTTGTTATAATTACTTGGTGTTATTTTAGGATATTCCCTCCATAGTATCTTGATATGTTTGACCAAAGGTTTAAGTCAGGTGAAGATATAGTGTTTAATAACACTACTTCTCTTCTTGTGTTACAGTAATATTAAAGACATCGAGTAATATATTACCGTGTCCTAATATGCCGGCTTCATTCGGTGGATGGCAGCTTCCAAGACCACCTTACATCCAGGTGCATTAGTTTAATCTGGTTTTGCTTTGATTTTTTCTACATGCACATTATCAAGCAACATTAGTTGGGATGAGATGGGCTGAATGAGACCTCCACGTTTCTCTCTCTGCAAATTTGGTTTCTCTTGTAATCTTTTCTCTCTGAATTTTTTAATCAAATCCCAAATTAAATTTGGTTATAGCATTAAATTTTAGGTTGCTTTAAACGCAGCTGATAGAGTATATGATACACACACACACACACATTATATATATATATATATGAGAGATATACTGCTCATTTCTAAACCTTCCAGATCAGGGCACAAGAATAGATCCTTGCATCACGAAAAAACACGGCAACCAAATCGCAACTGCAGAATTTGTTTTTCTTTTCCCCCTTTTTTCATCTAAGAGCAGTTCGTTGAAGCGATTCCTGAAAAATACGGTGTGCTTGGAGGAAAAAATTCCGGGTGAGCCGATTTACCCTGGTAGAAAAAATGGATAAACTTTTAGGTTGCCGTATACCTTGGCCACCGCTTCACCGGCCTAGATGACTAGTGATTCATTCTTTTTACTGACTGTACTGTGTGGGAAATTAAAGGGATGAAGTAGAAGAAATTTAGAATTAAAGATTAAAAGATGAAAATAGAAGCTTTGGAAAGAAGAAGAAAAAAACAGTAATACAAAGACACAAGAAGAAGACACTAAAGACAAAAGAATCAAAGAATTAATTAAGACAGTGAGAGAGATGAGGAAGTAGAAAGACTGAGACGGAGAGACAATCAAACGTAAAAAAAATGGAGACAATCAGTGAGAGAGAGAGAGAGAGAGAGAGAGCAATGACGGATGAGGAAGTAAGAGGCACAGTGAAGAAAAAATATGGATTGACGACCAAATAAATATCAATATCTAACATTATATTATACAATTTAAATACACAGTTAAGTCTCAGTCAGCGGTTCTTCCCCCCACCCCTTCCCCCCTCCCTCTTTTCCTCCATCGCTCTTCTTTTCTGACTTCTTCCTTCACTCCTTACATTCTTTTCTCTCTCTTTCCTTCCTTCCTACTTCCCTCCTACTTCCCTCCTATCCTTCCTGAGTTGATATTTCAAGCCCACTCAAGTACCGCAGGCTCACGTGAACTAGTGGCGCAGAGAAATAGATAAATGTCACCTGGTATAATACTGCGCCAGATTGAGGTCGTCAAACTCTCAATTTTTTCCGTCAGTGAATAAGTCAGTTTGACAGATACAAGTATATAGCTGTATCAGTGAGTGAATACATAGACCTATTGATTTACCTTTAAATAAAACTACCAGAATGATAAATGAATAATTGAAATTAAACTTAAGGGAAGGAAAAAAAAAAAAAAAACCAGTCATCAATTTTTCCGACATTCCAGAGACATTAGAACAAGATTTAGCCATAGAGATGAAAAAAAAACACAAACGTACATCATGTGGAAGCCATCCATCACTGCTGTCAATACATAATGGTGTGGAGGATTATGGTGTTACATATTTATAAGATAGGAAGGGTAGTTTATTTTACTTTGTATCTACATGGCTACCTCTGTCTGTCTGTCTGTCTGTCTGTCTCATTGTGTGTCTGCTTGTCTCTGTCTGTCTGTCTGTCTGTCTGTCTGTCTCATTGTGTGTCTGTTTGTCTCTGTCTTTCTGTCTGTCTCTCTGTTGATCGCTGTTTAAGAAAGACCAATAAAAAGTGCCTAAAGTTATATAATTCATCTACACCTGAACTTTGATCAAGAAACACTTTATCTAAAACAACAACACACGAACAATAGTGGATTAAGTAGTACGGACATCAACATAACTAAAAAAAAAAGCTGATCATGAAAGATTAAGGTGATTCATGACTTCCTTTTTTTGGTTTCAAGGAGAGACATGATCAAGGTAATTTATAATTTTATTTTTTTTGGGGGGTAGAGAGATATTTTCAAGGTTTGCGTTAGTTTATGTGTGGAAGATAAAATTTTAATAAGATAATTCATGTAGCTTCCTCTTCTGGCCTAACACATATTTTATAAAGGTAATTCATGAGAGTTTACTTTGTGAGGAGGCAGATAGAAATATAATTAAGGTAATCCACCGGTGTTTTTTTGTGGTTCAGGCTGACATGAAGAAAAAATTCGCGTTTTTTTCGGTCAGGGCAGACAGATTCTTCAGGTTCCATGATTTTTTTTTTGGGGGGGGGGGGGGTTGCCCCAAGGAGACAATATCAAACTAATTCATGACAACTTCCTCTTTGACCCAGAGAGAGACATTGTGTGTCTCCAACCCAGAGTCCAAACTGGCTAATTAGTTTAATTCTTGCCATTAAAAGTGATTTCAACGAGTTGAAGTAATCGTCACAGGCCATAAAGCCCTTCATAAAAAAAAAAATCCCAAAAGATTTTCTTAATCCGTTTCTTCGTAAAGAAAAAAAAAGAAGCTTAACAAGTGGGGAGAAGGAAAAAGAAAGTTTGTAAAAGTTTAGCGCTGCACGAAGAAAGCGTCTTTGGAATAAATCTGGAAACACCACATTTCAGTGCAGAGAGAGGGAGAGAGAGAAAGGGAGGGATAGAGAAGGAGGGAGTGTGGAGGGAAAAGGAAGGAGGGGGAGGGAGCGGTGGATGCGACGGGGCTGGAAGTGCAGTATTTAGCCAGCTCAGGAGGTAATGGCTGGAAGACATCGGTGATGAGGCAAATTGTTGGGGGCGTCCGGCAGGCTGGCGGGGTCATCGCTACTCCTCTTGCTGCCGTCTGCCGAAACACTTTCGTCTGCTGGACTCTGCTTCTACTGTTACAATGCTTCTGCCAGATTATCCTTCTATTGCTGATACAGAGTATTATTTGGGCCCTCTCTCTCTCTTTCAAGTCAATAAAGACATCCATATTATAACATTCATTTACATATCTTTTAGTGCTGCTGCCTCCAGCATTTGTCTACTTACTCTTCCTCTTCACCATCGCTGTCTCTCAGGCCTACGTAACCTCCCCAACATAATTGTGACAAAGTCTGTCTTTTGGAGAAACACCAATTTTAACTTTTTGACGAGTTTATCCATTCAAGTAGAACAGTGGAAAGGATTTACAAACGTCATCGTATAGATCTGAGGAATTGTACCGAGTGTTCTGTTCGGGTGAGAACCTCTATCTAAAACTTAAAATGAAAGTCATTACCACATGACCACCTCACTTACTTGATAATTAATGTTGTAAGGAAAGGATGTGGTCTATCTTTCACTGACAAGTAAGTTTTGTATTCTCTGACTCCTGTTTCACGAGCAGCCATGTTTCTTCCGTCTTTATCTCCGTCATGTTATGGCTGATCAGGTTTGGTTTATGTAACTGTGTCTTTATATTTAAGTCTCTACTCAGGTACGACAAGTATGTGTAAATAATATAGTTATGAGATACAATATATTATATTGTATTCCATAACACCTGTTCTCCAGCTAGGCAGACGAAGATACTAATCCTCCACTAATGGCGCATATTTTCTCTCCTCAGCTACGACTCGCGGGGTCGTGACGGCAATATGGGTGCTGCAGGTCGTCCTCAACAGTGGGGAACAGAGGAGGCGTGGGGCGTGGAACAGAGGGTGTGGTTCGACACATCCACCACGCCTGCCCACCTGCTGGTGAGCGACGTGCGTGGGAGGGACGAAGGCAGCTACAGGTGCAAAGTGCACTTCAAGGGCTCGCCTTCCTGGTCCCAGAAGATCAACCTGAATATCGATGGTTAGTCTCGTGGCGTCGTGTGATTGTGATGTTTTCAGTCTGCAAGCATGACTGGCGTGTATAGACACATTTATATACTCTCGTTTTCTGGAAATATAAACACAACTTAATTATGTATATTAGCTGCTTCGTGAATAGTCGTAATGGATTTTAATTGCAAATTAGATTTAATAAACAAACTAATTTGCTCATTTATCTAATGACTAATGTGAATTCCTACGTTAACATTATATTGAATTATCTGCTGTAGTCATATTTTGTGGCAATTTCACAGAGTACGAGTTCTAAAATCACAAGGTAAAAATATAAACAAAAATAACAGAATAGTGTATTTTCCGCTGACTGAATTCCCCTTGTCAGTATAATCTGGTCTCAGCTGTAACCTCGAAACCCAGCACGCTTTTGTGGCTCTGAGGGTTCTGAATAGTATGAAGTTGCGTTTGTTTTCCATACTCTGTGACCCTCGTGCGTGTGACGATGGGAGTGTGTATAAGTGAGGTGAGAAGAAGGATAACGAGACTAAAGTGAAATGATGAAAGGTGAAGGTGAGAGAAATATGAGTATGGAGGTGTGTTGTAAGTGGACGGAAGTGTTTACTACCCAATTAGACAGTATATAGATAGACAGATATAAAATATATACACAATTTATCTATGTTATTGTATGTCAACTTCTTATCCAACTATGTCACTTCTTTTTTCCTCTCTCTCGCTCCCCCCCCCCACAATAGAAACTAACAGGCCATCTCAAAGTCATCCAGGATCACTGAACTTTGAAAAAAATACTTCACCTTGTACAAGAAAATATGTGTATTTGTCTTAGTTCTTAGATTTTGTTTGAAGATGATGTTTGGTGCACCGGACACGTCTTAATTACCTTAAGCATGAAGCTGGAGAGATTATGTACTAATACTTTATATAGTGTGAGTTAACCTTGAATTTATTTCCTGTGGATATCTCTCTCATTTTCTCAGTTTCCTTCTTTCATTCTCTATCTTTATGTCTGTCTGTCTTTCTGTCTGTCTGCACTTAACTGCCCCTCCCGCTACTCATAACAGATTCTTACAAAATCCCTTCGTCTCTCTGCCAGATCCACCAGGGTTTCCCAGAATCCAGGATGAATCCGGAGGACGACTGGAAGGTCCCATCGGCCCCTACGAGGATGGCACTACTATCAGGATGATGTGCCTCAGCTCGGGAGGTAAGTACCCGTGTCCTTTAACTGCTGGGGTGGGTGGCTGCTGGTCAAAAGGGCCCCAGTCCTCGTGAATACCCAGCTAACCTAACAGTAAGGATTTATGTCCATTCCAAACTGGGCTACAGTCCTGATCAGCACAAGTCCAAATAAGGTCCCCATCTAAACAAAACCCTATCCTAACAGGACCCAACTATCTTAACTGTCAAGGCTAGAGCCGAACCCACAAGACAGGGATCCGTTTAACTCGTCACCTGTTTAGGTTGGGTGGTAAGCGTCAGGGAGGATGAATATTTCAAGCCGGCTAAAAGCAGCGAAACGCGACCAAATACTCAAGATCAAAGGCATTTTGGGTGTGAGGTGTAGGGGTTGGCCTTAGTGCACCCGGGTCCTAATTTCCAAGTGGATCTGGGTATGTGGGACTGATGCTAATAGTGAAGGATGTAATTGAGTATAAGTTTGGGAATTGTAAAGAAAGTTGGAAGATGAATTATTATTATTATTATTATTATTATTATTATTATTATTATTATTATTATTATTATTATTATTATTATTATTATTATTATTATTATTATTATTATTATTATTATTATTATTATTATTATTATTGTTGTTGTTGTTGTTGTTGTTGTTGTTGTTGTTGTTGTTGTTGTTGTTGTTAATCAAAACTCCTATACATTTACCTTCATTTACCAAGTTAATTTCTTTCTCTCTGATGTTTGATGCACCTGTCAGTCATCCCTTTATATATTCCAAAACATGAAGGTAAACATCCGTAAGGGACGTGACCGTGTAGCGCACTGCAATATATTCAGGTATTTTTCGTTATAGTAAAGCAAATGTACAATAAATATCCTATGGGAATATTTTAGTAAGTCTCAGATAAAGAAAATAAGTATAAATATAGAAACGGAATCTAATGGGCATGAGTATCAGATTTCAGTTCACTAAGATATTAAATTAAACTTATGAATTATTACACATGCAAACTCTGTCTGACAAACTCAAAAATATATATTAGAAGGAAAATTATTGATGAGGGTAATAAGAAAATAATACAGAAATGATGACTGGAATATTCAGCTCTAAACTCACTTGGAATTATTTTGCATGAAGACATTGACTGACTAAATGCAAATTATGTGTTAGTGGAAAGAATACCCGAGACAAAGTGGTGATCTTTGAGAGAAGGTTGACAGACCTAGGCGGTAGAGAGAATCACTAGCTTTGAGATGGTAATATTGTGGCCGCCCTGGTGAAGTAAGGCTGTATGTAATGGTAATTGTAAATAGGTGGATCTATTTTCGGCTGTATCACCATCAGGATAAATATTAAACAATCCAAATGTAATTTTTAAGATCATGAGACGTAACCCTATTTTTTCTTAAATTTAATGAACGAGTTACTCAACCTCTCTCATATATACAATACAAGATACACCGCCACGCGAGGGATGTTTGCCACTTCTCCAGTACTCGAGGCAATGGACTTATAAGAGAGAGCACTACATTTGTCTACGCTATACCGAAAGTTAGTAGTTGTTTGCGCATACCAGGAGCACAGCTGGAGAATCTATGAGTTCGTATGGTGAAAGAGTCTCATCCACATCTGGTGTCTAGTTAACATATATACAACGAGAAACAGATGATTTTAATGTATGTTTTTAGATTTTTTCTCAAAGCCTTAAATGGCCTTATATTCTCATGGTGGTGTATGAAATTCACTCTTATTATATTTATGTTCACACTTTCTCGTTGTATTTATAAAAGAATAAACGTCTCGGTGAAATTCATTTTTTTTTTCCATTCTTCGTTGTGTTCTTTTGGCCAAGCCGTAAAGCCGAGGACAAATAAACGTTTTCTGTGGAGAGGAGAAACCAAAACACAGTATGCCACGTCTCTTATTTACAGTGAAGCGCGACCAGAATTAATTTTGGCGAGCAATATAGATTCCAATGGCCCCTACAGATTTCACGAATGCTTTTACGTGGCATTAATTTTCGCTGCCCTTCAGAATACCACCCTTCAATTTAGCCAATGAATTGATGAGGGTAACGGCAAAATTAGTTTGCTTTTGTTCCTGGAAATAGCAATTGCCGACCGATTTGGAAAAAGTGAGAGGCGGTCCCAATCAAAACCACTTCAGTATTTCCAAACACACTGTCACAAAATCCCTGGAAATAAATGATATGCAAAAAACTTTAAATGTTTGATAAAACATGTTGCGTGGTGTGTGTTTGTTCCATTTTTATTGAGTATTTTCTGAAGATGTTGGTAAAAATTGTTTATTTCGTCATATCCTGTGTTATTTCTTAGCCGAGAGATATTGTTCATTGGGTTAAGCTCTTTTAAGGTGCTCTAAGAACTCTCTCCTCTCTCTCATTTACGCTCTGTCTTTCTGTCTATATTAATACAACTACCTTTCTCTCTCTTTCATTTCCACTCCTTTGTTTTATTTCTCTTTCCTTGTGATTATCTCTCTCTGTCTACCCCTATCTCATTCTCTCTTTCTCTGAATCTCCTGTATATCACATTTATAATCTCTCTCTCTCTCTCTCTCTCTCTCTCTCTCTCTCTCTCTCTCTCTCTCAAAGCAACCTCAATGTCCAGGTTAGTTAATACTCTGGTCTCTCATTAAGCTTGTAACCTCTGGTCTTCTGTACGTCCTTGACACCAAACCTCTAGAGGGGAGAACACGGTTAGCCAACACACTGGTAATGGCATCGACAATACAGACTCAATTTAGACTTAAGTCGTAAACATAGATGGTGTAAATGACATGGTTAGGTTAGGTTAAGTTAGATTTTATTGCAAGGTAATTTTATGGGTTAGAGTAAGTGTTATTGCATGTTAAGTTTCAGATGGGAAAGGGTAGGTTAGGTTAGATTATTTTAGGATAGGTTAGAGTTGGGTTAAGTTAGTATAAATCAGTTTGGATTTGATGGGGTTAAGTTAGTTTAAGTATAGATTATGTTAGGTGTAGTGTGTGTAGGTATAAATCTTTACACAGCAGACAAATAGGGTGAGCGATCATATGTGTCGTCACCGTCTTATATGTGCAGAGTATCAAGCTAGGAGGTGAAATCATAAGCTTTGGAATTCCCGCCCACACACAGCTGTACCTTACCGAGGAAAACATGTTTGGTGTGTTCGGCTTCGTACCTATAGTTACTAAAATTATTAGTTATGAAACTTCTTGGAACAGTAAATATCTTAATAGAACTGTTTTAGATATATTAATTAGATTGCATAGAATTGAAATTTAAATTAATCTACATTGTAATTAGCAATGCGTCCATAGTTGTAGTTTTATTTAGATTCGAGGTATTTTGATATCATACGCTTCTAAACAAGGAAAAGTAAGTGCCAAAGCTTCTTATATTCATCTTATCTATGACTGTATTATTTTTTTCCTTGCATCACTTGCCACAAAGCTCACCAGCTGCCACCACGTCTGTTTGGATCAATCAGAGCCTTTCTGCACGTAATAACTTTCTCTTCAACTGTTCCTTAAAAAGGTCTAAAAATTAACAAGGACTATTTAGAGGAATTAGTTCGTTAATTGATATTAGGATACAGAGTTGTCTGTCAGACAGGCGTCGAAATTGTTCTGAGACTTTGCAGTAACTAATAAGACATGGGGCAAAAACTTCACCAATAGATCCTTTGAAAATCCGGACGCAGATCCCGTCAGCAGCATTTTCTTATGGAGGTGCCTGGAGGTGCCTGCACTTTTAGTCATTCTGACCGATGTAAAGATGGTCAATAGACAGCACGGTTGGTTAACCGGCAGCTGCTGGGTTAGCAAAAGAGACAGGAGCTGTGCTGGGTAAAAGTAAGGAGTCAGCAGCTGGGTTTTTATCGTAAAGAGACAGGAGTTGGGTGAGGTAAAGTAAAGAGACAGTTTTTTGCCAGTGATATTTGCTCTTGAGAGAGAAGTTAACGTTGTTAGTCCGTGCGTCTGAATCTGCTTACAGCGCCCATACCACAAATATTAGGAAATAGCCTGAATATCCCGGGCAGGCAGACCACTTAGTGAGCTAAACGGGAATCAAGGACCTCCTGCAGGACTCGTTGAAGGAGGTCACAACTCAGAGCACTTCCTCTCTTCATTACCGCAGAATGTTGACCGTTTCAGACTATCAGTTTGCACCACACTGTGACAAGAGTTCAACGCTCTTCAGTGAGAAAGAAAAAGAGACTTGGGGAGAAAGAGGAAAGTCAGAGAGAAAAGGAGAGGGGGAGACTAAAAATAAAATAGACAAAGAAGGAAGAGAATAAAAGCAAGAAAGAGGAGGAGCTATGGATTCATGCCGGCCGCTACTTACCTTGCATGAGCCCCCAAAACTATCTTACACACAAGAAAGCCAATAAGCTCTTCCCCCTCATCAGCAGAGAGCCCATAAGCTCCCTCTTATCACAGGGATCAAGGAAAACCTCTCCCTCCTTCCTACCTTTCTTCCCTCCTACGTCTATTCACTGCCTTCGTCCACTCATTCATGCACTCCCCCTTATTCGCCTTTACCTGCAGCACTCCCCCCTCCCTCCCTCACTCTTTTCGAAGGACCGCTGACCAGCCGTCATTACCCTAGCCACGTCTTACTCTCCTTTTCACTCAAAGGGAACCAGAGACTCTGATTTTATTGTTGTTTTACATTAGGGGTTGGAAATATAAATATAAAATGAAAAATGTAACGTATAAATAAAGATAAATGAGCTTAATTACTAGAGCGCGAGAAGGAAATATGCCGAGCTTGACAAATATCTCCTTCCACATACTTAACATTATATTTTCTTTCATAATTTCCGTAATTGTTTCCATTATTTTCTGTTTTCTTTTTTCAAATCTGTTTTTTCTTAACTGTCTTCATTTTCCTTTAAATTTCTCGTGGCATTTTTCCTTTCATTGTCAATGACTTTTACATCCCTTCCTATTTTTATAATGTTGCTTTCCTTATTAACTTTTCTCGTAATATTAACATATTTTTCTATGCACCTCCTCCTTCCTCTTATCATTATTCTTGTTCTTTCGTTTCTATTTCTAGTTGACATTACATTTCCTTATTCCCTCTTCGCATTTCCTTTTATTTCTAGACCTCTAGTTCAGGCGTGTAAAAAATACTTGTCTCAAATGGATTCATTTCTCATCGGGGCTCACAATACCTTTCACCCGGGTTCGGATTTTGAGTTCTCATAAACCTCTTGCATATTCA